AAAAAAAATTATGGCCTCCTCAAGAAGACTCAAAAGGAACAATTTAGCGTTAGTCTGTGATTTTAAGTTTCTACCTTTGCTTTTATTGTAAAATGCGGACAGAATGACATGGGGTTGTCAAGGGTAACGGCAGGTCCAAATAGAAAGGCCTAGGAGGCCGGTGATTTACTAAATATTAAACAATTAATCTAGCCACTAAATAAGGTAAACATGCCCACTGTTATATCTCATGCCAGCACAGGAATGACATGTTACTTTATGCAAAACTTAATATCAGGAAACAAGCGCAGCACTGAAGTCTGCTGGGGCTCGCAGAAATCACGGCGGACACCGCACTGGTCTGAACGCACCATAAAGGCTGCAAAATATATAAATGTTTACTTTTGGTTAGGATGGTAAAAATGACATGAATGGATTCTGCACCAAAAAAGGATTAGTAGCTAAAGTCAGATGAGATTTTGCCAGATCCTAGTTGCTCTCTGACAGAACTGAGGAATGGCTTCTCCTTTGCGTTACAAATTTTAGATTTAAGGTTTAAAAAAAATGAAAAAAGTGAAACAAAGATGAACGTTGGTCCAGCTATTGAGTGAGCTATTTTTCCACTTTCCCTCTGGGCAGGGATTTAATGAAAAACCTGGCAACAAACGCAGGCAAATACAAATACACCACCTAGTGGCCGGGAGGAGCTGAACTTGTATTAATTACCAGTAAAAGTTCACATTGTGTGTAAGGGTTTTTTTCTAGGGTTAAAGCTATTTTTCAACTGAAGTTAGGTAATGCAGTTTATTCATTTGTTTGTACCTCATAGAAATCATGATATCACTTTGATGATATTGTGCATCTTACCTTCTGCTTTAAAATGATAACACTTCCCCAAAAGAAACACTGGGGAGTTTCTACTGAATGAAGTTTTGGATTTGAGAGCCCAACCTAAAAAGAAAATAAATACATGGACAGCATATCAAAGCACGGTTGACTTACCCAGAAAAAGACTCTAAAATATTGTATTTACTCAACTGCCATTCATTGTGTGGCTCAGTCTCATGATACCCGTTCAATACGGTTTTTCCATCTGACTTTGAACCCCCAAAATAACTTTATTATAGAGTTTTATGTGAAGAGTAGCAGGGCAAGAAAAGTTACAATTAACCTTAGCAAACAATCTTAACAATATGATGAAAAAATATATTCTCAGCAGTGACTCAACAGCAGCAGCCACACAGAGTTATATTTAGGTACCTCTTTTATGAAATGTCTTCCATTCATGGAGAAGCTGCAACAAAAGCGCAGCTGAAATGATCCCTTTCCTGTACTATTTGCTACATATGCTTCTGAAAAATAATAACTTGAAACATTTAGATATTTTGTCACATTTGTGACCCCTTAATAGAATCCAGTGTGATCACCCTTCTTTTGAAGGGCAGTCATTTGAGACCTAAACTATGATAATTATTGGCAGTATCAGAAAATGTGTAAAGAGGGACTTTCTCCATCCAGTCTAACCAATCTTAAGCTATTTTCCAAATAAATGTGGGCAGGATAACTCTGAATATCCAAAGTTGGTAGAGACAGACTAGTACATGCAACAAGTGGTTCTGCAAAGTATTGATTTATATGAAGTTTAACACAACAACACAAACAGTTCAACAAACCAACCAAATATTTAAACTCTTTTTTTTTTTTGCTCCCAAATAGATGTTAGAACCTGTTTCTTTAGATTTCAAGTGGGGGTTTGTTTGATGATCAATAGTTTTCTGTATTTTGTGCACTTTTTCAAACTTATTCTGGTCTAGAAAAAGTAAAACATTAGGAGGATATATTTAGTTTCCTTCAGCTGTGTTTGATTTCTGAAGAGTCCCATGTAGAAAATCACAAAGGATATCAATGTTGGATTTCCAGTGACACAATGATAAAAAAAAAAAAGTTATTCTATCTTGATGATTATTTTAAAAACTGTGAACATGGGAAAGTAAACAATTTTTTCTTTGTGTGTTTTTTATTATTATTGATATATCAAAATTAAACCAAAGCATCAGATGAAAACATCACTTTAAATATCACCTCCAAAAAAATTGTTGTCAAGGCACCTATTTGAGAGCATACTATACATTTTTCAGTCTGTTATTTTGAGGTAAAATTAGGGCTGCAACTAACGATTGTTTTGCTAATCGATTAATCTGTGGGGTCTATTTTTTTCGATGCATTGATTAATAATCGGATAGCGAAAAGTTCTTTAAAGAAGATTTTTTTTTTATACGAAATTAAACCAGGTGAAAATAAAACTCTGGGTAGAGCTTATTGATTGACAAAAACATTTTTTACCTTAAATGCAAAATGTTTGTATGTTTTTTGTTTTATACAATTTCTACATATATATATATTTCTATATATATATAATTTATATATAAAATATATATAATTTTACAGTCTCTATACTCCAGTTAACGATTAATCGATTACTAAATTAGTTAATAATTATTTCAGTAATTGATTCATCTAATTAATTGTTTCAGCCCTAAGTAAAATATTCACTTTATTTAATATAGTAAAAATGTAATATATAAACTTTCGGTTTATTGAAATTCTTAGGTAATACTTCAATGGAAGTTTAAAGCTATTAAAATCAAATCTCAGACTCAGCAACACAAAGGTGCCTCAATGTTTATTAACTAATGATTAGTATAATTTTAAGTTATGTTAGCTTTAGATTCAGTAACTTATAAAGAAAACCCTTTATATAAAATAGTGCTTCACAATGGGAGGCAGTCAGCATCAAATCACTTACTGTACTTCACATTGTTCCAAACTGACATAAACTTTGTCTTCAGTTTTTCCACCTCGTCGCTCCCTTTACTCTCCATTTGAAGCAGCTAGAGAAAGCACCCATTCCCACACAGCAACACCACCCTGACCTTTATGCAAGAGAAAATATTCACACATTTAGCCACTACAGCGCGTTACTTTGAAGAACTACAGACATTGACAGCTTGCAGTGCACGAATCGCTACCTCAACACGTCATCAATACAATGCCGTTTTCCCGTCACAGACGCGCTCCATTTCTCTCCAAGTTTAAACATAGCATGGTATCATAACACATGGAACACTGCCTTCTTAACCTGCTGAACAACTTTACGCTCTTCTGCGAGTAACTAATGTTTACGCTTTGAGGAAGTAATGTGGAGCAGTCATGTGATCTCGCGATTTTTCAGTTGAGAAGAGGGCGGGAGTTTGTTTGATTTGTATACCAAGATAGCCCAACCGCGCGGAGCTTAATCGCTTTCTTTCTGTTTTCTTTTGTTTTTTTTCTAAATGGTTTTATTTCTTTTTTAAATTTCTTTTAAAACAAAACACGACTCATATCCGGTTAAGTGGATTGGGGGTATTTTTTAGTTAAAATGTAACCAATTTAGTACCCAAATTTTTGTAAATATCTAGATATTCAATCATGATAGTTGAGTCTTATAAAAAATAATAAATAAATAAATATATATATATAT